TTAGTTACATTGTCACACTTTACAGTGGCAATGTAACAACTGTAAACGTTAGACAATAAACTTATTTAATTAAACTCTCTCCTGTGTCTTATCTGTGCCAGATATAATTAATCTGCAGTTCTGGACCATTTCTGTCATGCTTTGTTAGTTGAGGTAGGTCTGGAAGGCTCCCTTTTTAATCTTTATCCTTTCTCTTTCTAGAATATAATTCTGTTTAGTTTTTAGAAGCTTTAATTAAAAAACAAGTCTCAAGATTCCTCCTCTTAAAATCATTAAAAAAGCATTAAAATCTTTTCTGCTCAGCTGTAATCAATGACTTTTCCCCTCTGGTTTCACATTTTGATGTCTTCTCTCACACTTAACTTGAAAGTTACTTTGTGCTGTTTGTGATGGTAAAATCTTAAGCAAGTTTTCTGCTTTATTTCTGAGCTAGGAAAGTCTTCCTAATTACACATAAATTTTATTTCAGAGGCAAGACTTTGATATTAGCAAATGCTTATTATAGTTCTTAGATCCTCACCTTTAAGCAGTGGTGGTCGTTTCCATAATTAGAAGCACTCGACTGTGTGCAGATACACCAAAGGTTGGTTTGGCCAAAGATTTACCTAAAAGTGATGGGACTGAGCAAGGTGCCACCTGGGTACATGGATGTGTCCAAGGATGGGAGAAGGAAGAGACATCTTCAGGTCTAAATCGTGAAAGGCAGTTCCTGAAACTGCAGTTTCAAACGCTGCAGCCAGAGCACGCATGCTGTGTGCCTGTGCGGTTGTTGATGCTCCTACTGCAGAAAATTACCTACAGTTGTTTAAAAGATGCTGCTTGTGCATGTGGAGAAGAGAGAAATGCACCCTTCCTGACATCCTTGTTTTGAACAGGTGTCCTTATACTGAAACATATGATGAATATAGTGGGAAAGCAACAAACCATTCTGAAAATCAACAGCATTTTTATTATGATTATTCTGTCGAGGCTTGGTTGAGCAGTTAGAAGGAATACGTTCTATCAGTTACACAAATACCAGAATCATTCCTACAAATACTTTTGTTTTGCTCTACAAGTAAAGCAAAGGACCTTTAGTACAAGAAGAGTTACACTTCTAAGCCATCTCAGTTGGGCAGTTTTCAACTAAATTTCTCATTGTCAAGTTTTAGAACTTCATAAAAGGGACTTGGAGCGGTTTTTCTGCTGCACGCTTCAGGGCTAATGCGTAAGTATAAACCCTGGCATCCACTGCAATATGCTCTTCTTCTATGAGTTCTGGATTAAAAAACAACAAAAAAAAAGTATAAGATGCTGTTAAAGCTTCTCCACTACATAAATTTAAGTCCTTTACAGAAATTAAGATGTATAGCATTCCAGACATGCATTCTTAATGCTAACACCTAATGCCGTCACTAACTCTGCTACCTGGCCAAGTCTCTCACAGCTTTTTTGTTTTAAGTTACAGTATTCTGGGATGAGAAATGCCACAAGGAGCTAGGAGAAGAGAAGCTAAGGGTTTCCTGCAGCTCACATTAGTGCACCAAATGTGTCAGAAAGCTCTTACCATCAATTCTTTGCAGTAAGTCGTTCTTCGGAAGTGAAATAACTTCCACAAATTCTAGGAGAGAAGGGAAAAAATGACCAACCTTTAAATTAGTGAACAGTAGAGGAGGTCTACCTCAGTGTCCTGTTTCTTGTAGTTTAGAAAGGAAAACAAACTGGCTTATTGCTTATCACCATCCAAAAGATGTGAGACTTCATATATCACAGAAAGGCCAATTAAATAGGGGAAGGCAGCGACTGGGGTCTTTGAAAAATAGCAGAAATAAACTGAGAAAGAGCTGGGAAAAAGAGTGTAGCTGACAGCTCTGGAGGATGAGAATCCTTCTAAAAGGAGACGTTCTTTCTGTGAGTGGAAATACTGTTGAAGTGGACTTTGGTTTGGCTTTTACTGATACAGTAATGGATTGTAGATGTGTCTGAAGACCAAAACAGCACAAAGGGTTTGTTCTTGATGAATTTGTGTTGGTTTACACCTCCCCTGTCTATCTGAATCAGCTGTCTCTGGGGCTTGATCTACAGCTGGTGTGAATTCAGTCATTTGTGTTTCCTGAGATACTGCTGCTATAGGTGCAATACTTGAAGAAAATTGATGTGCAAATGCCCCACAGGAATTTTCACGTCTAGGCCGAGGCCAATCTCATGCATGTTTGATTTGAGACAGGAGATTAACCAAGCCCAAAGAAAAAACAGTTTTAACTGACATTTTCTAAGTAAAACTTGCCATACGAAGATCACACTTGACCTTACTGCCACTGTGAGCACAGCTACGTAACATACCTCCATCATCTGCAAGTAAAAAAACAAAACAAAATGTAGTTAAGGATTTTGAAAGACACTTGCATTTACAACTAGAAAGCATTCTGATAGCTGACTGATCATGAGTGACACTGTAGTTAGTTCCAGAGTCAAGCCACAGCTAAGAGGAATATCCAGGTTCGCAAGTGCTTATGGCCCTCGCTGAAGTTTGGCACCTGAAGTTCTCAGTCTGGGTGTGCCAACACCTGACACTTAGCATCCACGCCTCCCCAGTGAATTTAGCAAAGAAAGATGGCTCTACTTATCTAGACAGCAGGATATGATTTGAAGGATGTACAGCATCTAAATCAGCAGAGACAGAAGAGAGGCAGTGGTAGGGGTAGTTCTTTTAAACCCATTGTTTTGTTGTCTTCTCAATATTTTCAAATAAATGGTATAAAACTCACCAAGTTTTTGCTTAGGTCTTGTATTCTCAGCCTCATCTCCGTTAATGGTGACACTCACAATGTGCGTTGTGCTGTTTGACAAACCTGGGTCCAAGCAGAGAGCTGCCAACAAGCACGCACAGAGGTTAATTTTTCAAAAGCAGAAGTCAGGGACCTTGACATTTTAACAAAAGCTTTCACAGAAATATATCCAATACAATAGGAGAACATATATTCGACAGAAGTTCATGTGGGAAGAGTCGTGAAAAGTTTGTTTTCACATGTACTTAAAAAGTAATGTTTCTGTAACACTCGGCTCTTTCACAGATTCCTTGTGAGACTTTGTCACGGCCCACTTTAAAAGTGAGCTCTT